TGTGTGCAATAAATAAATAAAATCTTAAAAAATGATAATGACAATGTGAATTCGTAATCGTCAGCGCTGGCTGAGTGCTGGCTCAGTGACACACACTCTCTGACCATTCTGCTCGCTCCTAACTCACTGGGTCCTCGTGGACAGTCTGAGGTGGGGACCATTGTGCCCACTTTACAGATCAGTAGAAGGAGCCAGAAAGGCTGACTCTCCAGGCCGCACAGGCGGGAGCCCCGGAGCCAGGACTCAGTCTGTAAGTCTCTCAGTGGATCTCGTTCCTTCCACTGCGTCCCCATCCAGCTGGAGTGGAGAGGGAGCCAGGTGTCTCCGGTCCCTCTAGTCTCTCTGCCATCTCGCTCCCGTCCAAACTTCCACATTCGGGGGCATTAGTGGGATAGACCAGAGCCTGGGTCCTGGTCGACTATCCTCCAGGGGAGACTCTCCAAGACTGTAGGGTTCCTGCTTTCCTGATTTCTTTGGCAAAAGTGAGCAGATAGAGCTTGTGAGAGGAACGGTCTCTCCTCTTTTTGCTTCCCTTTCTCAGCTGCTCCCTGTGCTGCTCACAAATGCTGTTCGTGCTCATGGGCATCCTTAGTTTCAGTGTAATTTCTCCCTCACCAGCCTGCGGGCAGCCTGAGGGCAGAAGCTTCACCTTGTTCTCTGCCCCATCTCCCGTGACTCGGACAGAGCTGCTCAGTAGTTGTTGGTGGGAGATGAGAAGCATTTGCTCAGAAATCATTTGTCCCTCGTCTGGGCTGCGAGGGGAGCCCACCCAAGCCCCCTCCTCAGATCACGTGAAGTTGAATGTCATTGTCTCTGCAGACGACCTACCCAGCACTGCCCACGTGGTTCTGCCCAGAGAAGCTCCAGGGTCTCCTGTGTCGGACCCGCTCAGTGTGCATCCAGCCCCGGAACTCAGCTGTGCTGTGATCATAGCTGCTAGGATCATGTCTCAGTGTTTGATCTCATGCTGATCTCCCACGGGGATTCCACCATGTCGATGTGACCAAGTGAGAAGGAAGTAGCAGGTACACCAGATGTCCCCGCACACAGAGAAGCACCAGAATTGGATTATAAATCCCATGAAAATCAAGGGTCCTGACATAATAATGAAGTTTGTAGTCGTCCAGTCATTTGGGGAAACATCAGCATATCCCTTCAAAGCTAGCTAAGTTTCTGGTTATCTAAAGTTCTAGTTTTAGATATTTATTCTTCTGTATTATTTTCTGTTCCACATTTATATAATGAAGTTGGATTATTCTCATCAGAGAAAAACTCTTATTTTTCAAATCTGTATGCTTGTAGTTCATCAGGCAGTGAGTCCAGTGGGGTGTCCCAGGATTCAACGGAAGGAGGAGCCCTGGGGGCACATATCGACCTCGTCGCAGTGCCTGGGAGGGAGCAGGGAAGAGCAAGTGTGACCAGAGTCTGGGTCCCACGGTTATGGACTCCCTACACGCAGCCAGGTCCCCTCCCAGACCCTGATGTTCCAGGTCCGCCTCCTCCTGGGTGGGGGGGCAGATCAGTGCGGCAGCTCCGGTGTGGGTGTGGCTGAGGGCCCTGGAGGCAGGTGTGAAGGAGGCAGGTGGGCAGCGAGGGGCTTGCTGGTACCAACATCATGATGTCTCCAGAGTTGTGAAGGGTTGAGGGAGAGAAAGGGGTACTAGGGCCTGTCTGGGATGCCCTCAAATTCCCCAGGACGGGGAAAGCACCCTCAACTCTCTCTTAGGAAAGGCAGTTTTTTGCCCTGCTGTGGGGGCCGAGGCTGAGATCATCAGTAGCTCAGAGTCTCACTTTCCAGAGTCCTGCTTTGTCCCCGGAGCTGTGCCTACAATCTCAGACCCTTGTGTGCACCCCCTCCCCAACCCCCAGCCTGCTTGTGTCCCCAGCTCCCAGGCTGAGGAGGGCGTGTGTGAGTGAGGGGCCAGGACAGCCTCCCGTGGCCCCTGCAGTAGGGACAGCTGAGCTGTGGCACCTCGGCAGAGGGGGGTGGGGACGGGTAAGGGGACCTTCCCTTCTTATCTGCCTG